TTTTGATGTGACGTCACATTTCTCAAACACCCCCCCCCCCCTCGTTACACATCGTCACAAATGTCTGACACCGCCCCCCTCCTAGGTGCGTGACGTCATTTATGGACGGCTCCATATCCCCATCGCCATGCACCTGAAAAAATAAATGACTCATTATTCTTTTCCTATTTGGAGATAATCAGAATATTTAAAGTGGAGGAATCCGATGATCTATCAAGCGGCCTGGGAGGTAATCGTTGTCCGTCTTGGATGGACAGGCAAAGACAAAGATCCCCCGTGTAGCCTCGACCGACTGCTGGGGCAAGAGCTGTATTGTCGGAATCAGAATCGGAAGTATTTATACTGCGGGAGAAATCCGATGAGCTATGAAGCTCTTCACACACAGATGTCCAGTCGGGACCACGGGGGGTTAAGAACGTCGCAACAGCAAACACAGCGACACGGGAGGAGTGCAAAGTAGAAGATCAACAAACCACCCCAGACACGAACAAAATGCAAACACTAATTCTAGATTTGAAGCTTTCGTGACTGCAAGGATTCATACTCTTATGTTTTTTCGGTTAAGTCACGTAGGTAAAAAATGAAATTAAAATTAATAAAAATAAAATAATAATTCTTATTGGTTCTTTCGGTAAAGTCACGTAGAAGGGAAATAATAAAAATAAAACATAATAAAATAATTCTCACGACGTTTCGGCCACAACGCAAGCAGCCGTCCTCAGGTGAAGACCAGGTCTGTCGAGGCGCCTTATTTTTATTATTTTATTACTTCCCTTCTACGTGACTTTACCGAAAGAACCAAGAAGATGAATCCCTGCAGTCACGAAAGCTTTAAATCGAAAAATAATTATTTTCATTAAATTTAATTTTTTACCTACGTGACTTTACCGAAAGAACTAAAAATGAAATAAAAATTAAAATTATTATTTTATTTTTATTAATTTAAATTTAAATTTTTACCGACGTTACTTTACAGATTCATATTCTTAGGTTTTTTCGGTAAAGTCACGTAGGTGAAAAATGAAAATTAATAAAAGTCAAATAAAAATCACGACGTTTCGGAGGCAACACAAGCTTCCGTCTTCAGGTGGAACCGTCACAGCACGATAGCTGTATCTAGTGAGAAATTCTGTTTTCTTGGTATTTATCTCACTTGATACAGCTATCGTGCTGTGACGGTTCCACCTGAAGACGGAAGCTTGTGTTGCCTCCGGAAACGTGATTTTGATTTTATTTTAATTAATTTAGTTTTTTTACCTACGTGACTTTACCGAAAAAAAAACTAAGAATACAAACCCTAACCCTAACCCCCATCCTACCACCCACGCAAAGCCCACAGAGGTATTTACTTTTGAAAAGCGAATGATCGCTCACCAAAGTGGCACCATCATGTGGACATTCAAAGCGGCAAAATTATCTGAATCATCTCAACACGTGTTGCTAAATGTGGAGGGGAAACCCACGGGAAGAGAGAGATTCTAAATATACAGCAGCAGGCGTCAGGGTCGGGATCGAACCCACGACCTCCTGTAACACCAGGCGAGGTAGTTAACATCTCCTAGCCACCGTGATGATGATGAGAGAGAGACACGCAAACTCCAAATATACAGCAGCAGCAGGCGTCAGGGTCGGGATGGAACCCACGACCTCCTGCGTACCAGGCGAGGTAGTTAACATCTCCCAGCCACCGTGATGATGAGAGAGACGCACGCAAACTCCAAATATACAGCAGCAGCAGGCGTCAGGGTCGGGATGGAACCCACGACATCCTGTGTACCAGGCGAGGTAGTTAACATCTCCCAGCCACCGTGATGATGATGAGAGAGAGACACGCAAACTCCAAATATACAGCAGCAGCAGGCGTCAGGGTCGGGATGGAACCCACGACCTCCTGCGTACCAGGCGAGGTAGTTAACATCTCCTAGCCACCGTGGCGTCTCAAGAGACTGCTGGGGCAAGCGAGAACGAGTTGAAGGCAGGCCACAACGCACTGCCGATGCGTAGTGGTGTGTGGGTGTGCAGCAATAGCAGCAATAGCAGCAGCAGCAACCACGCCCTCCGTCTTTGTCTCCCCGGCAGCGACTCTTACACGCGACCCGGACTCACCGACGGCGGCTTGGAAGTCGAACCAGGCCCGGGACCGGCTCGGCTGATCGCTCTCTCGAACGGGGCGGCGGGGGGGGTCGGGGAGAGCGTGGAATCGAACTCGGGGTTCTCTTACCTCACCGGGAAAAGGAAATGCTTTTTAAAAAAATTAACCGGCGGCTGCTGGCTGAACCCGGGGGTCACCCCCGTAACCAATCACAAGTAAACTAAAGTTAGCTCAAAGTTTAATAATAAAAGGGGTCACGCGAATGATTGAGTCACCGCCACTTACACACACACGCGCACACGTGTGTTACTGTACGGGCCAGTGACGTCACGGGTTAAGGACACCGGCGGTGACGTCAGACTCTCGTTTTAATCAGCGTACATGATGTCACGCATATGTCCTGGGTGGGGAGGGGTCCACCAACCCCCCCCTCGAGATCTTAAGGAATGTGTATGACGTCACGAGCCCCATACAACGGAGATAAATGACGTCAGACGCCGTTGGCTGAAGCGGTCAAGGTGTGACGCCGCTGAAGCGGGCGCAATGACGTCATCGCAACAGTTTCGTACGCTTTGTATGACGTCATATTTTACAAAGGCCTGCGTGACATCATACACATGATTGAGTGGAACAAATGAAGCAGATAATGACGTCACCTTCCTTCCCGTCTTTGTCTCTCCACTTAAACAAATAAATAACTCCGTTGTTAAACTTAATTTGGAGTTTTCGTGACTGCAGGAATTAATTTAATTTATTATTTTATCTTTATACGTGACTTTACCGAAAGAACTAAATAATAACTCAGTTTTTCTTCTATTTATACAAAATCTTAATATTTGCAGTGGAGAAATCCGATGATCTATGAAGCGCTTCTTTGTCTGTTCACATTCCATCAGCTCCAGAAACGGCCTGGGACAGGCAAAGACAAAGATCCCCCGTGTAGCCTCGACAGCCTCTTGGGGCAAGTGCTGTTAGCGAGCACCTATGAAGGCCGGCACGGTCAACACCACGCCCGGCCGCCTTTGTCTCCCCAGTGGCGATGTTTTAATCTACCGCACCGGGTACTCATTTGAGGCTGAGTCGACCTAGGGGAGGCCCAGGACCGGTATCAGATAATCGTCACCGGTGTTGGCCGTGAGCGGGAATCGCTCCCGAGTTTGTAGCGCAGCTTAAAGGGCCGTCCATAAATGACGTCACGCGATTTTTGACAATTTTTGACCCCCCCCTTTAATATGACGTCACAAAGCTCTGCCCCCCCCTCTAATATGACGTCACAAAGCTTTGCCCCCCCCACCCAAAAAATAAAACATGCTTCAAATCGCTTTAAACTATTGTCATCGAAGTGCGTATTTAATGTGGCGCTGCACTCTGATGTTGTAGGAGAAAACATTTAAATTTCGATTTAAAGCTTTCGTGACTGCAGGGATCCATCTTCTTGGTTCTTTCGGTAAAGTCACGTAGAAGGGAAGCAAAAAAAAACATAATAAAATAAAATTATTCTCACGACGTTTCGGCCACAACGCAAGCAGCCGTCCTCAGGTGAAGAATGAGACATTTCCAAGCTAGGAGCTAATATATACGCTGCGTTGGAGGTGCAAGAGCGCCTTAACAAAAATAATGTGCATATGAAGAGGAATTTAGCATATTCACCCACCTCCTACGCATTTCCCATGAATATGCTAAATTCCTCTTCATATGCACATTATTTTTGTTAAGGCGCTCTTGCACCTCCAACGCAGCGTATATATTAGCTCCTAGCTTGGAAATGTCTCATTCTTCACCTGAGGACGGCTGCTTGCGTTGTGGCCGAAACGTCGTGAGAATTATTTTATTTTATTATGTTTTTTTTATTGCTTCCCTTCTACGTGACTTCACCGAAAGAACCAAGAAGAGAAAACATTTATTAGAAAGTCTATTTAATTAAGTAGAACGTGTCGTCTATATTTATTTAAAATTACGAATTTTTGTGACGTCCCAATTGTCTGACCCCCCCCCCCCCCAGGTGCGTGACGTCATTTATGGACGGCCCCTAAGCACGCCCAGTGGGGCATACCCGAGCACAGCAAGAGGGGATCACAGCTGGTGGCATCGGCCAGTCATCTCAGTCGACTGATGCCACCTGGTTCTGTCCCGTGACCTCCTCTATCAGCGATGGCCTCAAAGTGCACCTAGCCTGGCACACGCCACCGTGGTTACGCCACCGGTCACTTAGTGGAGAATGGGGGCTGTTGTTGTTTGTTTGTTTGTAATGTTTAACCTTCATCTTCTTTTATTTTATTATTATTTAATATTATTATATTTTATAATTTTATTATATTATTTTATTATGTTTTATTTTTATTATTGTATTACTTCCCTTCTACGTGACTTTACCGTAAGAACCAAGCAGATGAATCCCTGCAGTCACGAAAGCTTTAAATCGAAATGTTTAACCTTCCCCCCCACCGCCCAACAAAATGAGAGACTCCCTTGAGAGATTGGCTTGCCGGGTTTTTAATTCAATTTAACGTTACAACGACGCAGTCAGTGGTACTTTTACAACAATCATATTTACAGGAACAAATCTGCGTCGAGGCCAAACACGGACCGTAGGGAAATTGCCCGGGTCGCTGAAACTGCAATGGTCCTCGCGAACCACTGAATAGCAATTTCAGGATTTGAAGCTTTCGTGACCGCAAGGATTCATATTCTTAGGTTTTTTCGGTAAAGTAATGTAGGAAAAAACATCAAATTAATAAAAAGTAAAATAAAATAAAAATCATGACGTTGTGTTGCCTCCGAAACGTCGTGATTTTTATTTTATTTTACTTTTTATTAATTTGATTTTTTTACCTACGTGACTTTACCGGAAAAAAACCTAAGAATAGCAATTTCACTCTGCGGTAAATTCCGCTTTACTATATACAGCAGCAGCAGCAGAGGATGTGAACGAACATGATAACAGCTCGCCGCCTTTCCAACGTGAAGGTCATAACCGTCTTTGATCGCACGTTACAGAACTTCCACCTAGTGGAAAAATACGCGGGGAAAAATAAAAACACATTGCTTGCGTGAGAGTCAGAAGAGCCACGATGATTTGTTTTACGATTCGGCTTCGAACGGAACGGAACCGATGCGGGTTTTACAAAATTAATTTTGGAGCTTTCGTGACTGCAGGAATTATTCTTTGGTTCTTTCGGTAAAGTCACGTATGAAGATAAAATAATAAATTAAATAATAGCATACTACGACGTTTCGATTGCAACACAAGCAATCGTCATCAGGTATAAAAGAAATAGCAACAAAAATCTCACCAGAAAACTATAGACAGACATATAAGCAGACAGACATCATAAAGATACACACAGAGAGAGAGAACACGTATTGGCACAAAGAGAGAGGTCGTCTTTGTGACGGGGCTTTAAATATAGAGAGGGGGCCCCGCCACAGAGACGACCTCTCTCTCTGTGTATCTTTATGATGTCTGTCTGCTTAGATGTCTGTCTAGAGTTTTCTGGTTAGATTTTTGTTGCTATATATTTATTTTATACCGGATGACGATTGCTTGTGTTGCAATCGAAACGTCGTAGTATGCTATTATTTAATTTATTATTTTATCTTTATACGTGACTTTACCGACAGAACCAAAGAAAAATTTTACAAAATTGTTACATACGGTGATCATGAAAACAAAGCTCGCTAAACGACAAAATAGATCCCGACCCAGCCAACCCCAGTATCGAATCGTCACAGCGCAGCGTAGTGGCAAGAATGGCCTGGGTTCGATTCCCCAATCTGATGCCCGTGTGGAGAGAGTTTGCGCGTGACATCTCGCACCCTCGTTCTGCGTGCGGGTTTTTTTTCTCTTCTCTCCCACGGATTAAAAAAAACCACCACCACAACTCGATGTGACTGCTGGAAACAAATGTAACCTGCATATGATTCTATTGGGGTCACACAGCAGCAGCAGGAGCATGATCATGACAGAGAGACGCTAACTCAAAATATACAGCAGGCGTCAGGGTTGGGACTGAACCCACGACCTCCTGCACACCAGGCGAGGTTGTGAACATCTCCTATTCACTGTGATGATCATGTGCGAGAGAGAGATGCTAACTCAAAATATACAGCAGGCGTCAGGGTTGGGACTGAACCCACGACCTCCTGCACACCAGGCGAGGTTGTGAACATCTCCTATTCACTGTGATGATCATGTGCGAGAGAGAGATGCTAACTCAAAATACACAGCAGGCGTCAGGGTTGGGATTGAACCCACAACCTCCTGTATACCAGGGGAGGTTGTCAACATCTCCTATTCACCGTGATGATGATGAGAGAGAGACACGCAAACTCCAAATACACAGCAGCAGGCGTCAGGGTTGGGACTGAACCCACGACCTCCTGTACACCAGGCGAGGTAGTCAACATCTCCTAGCCACCGCTGCGACAATTTGCGTATTTAGTAAAAAAAAAAGTGAAATAATACAAAAATAGAAACGACAACAACAACAATTATTGATCAACGCAACGATTCCCCAGTCCTGGCAGCCGCCGCCGCCGCCTCAGGCATTGCCAGCGGGCGGCAGTGGCCCCATGCGCTCGCTCACGAGGCGCTCGCTGAGCTCCCAGAGGTCCTGCGCCAGCTCCTCGCTCTGTGCGGCCGCGGACGGGAGGCAGCGGCAGCAGTTGTTGAAGTACATGCCGCTGGCGCCCTGCAGCTCCGGCGCCGTCGCGCAGTACACCGTCGTGGCCGCCGCCTGCTGCTGCTCGTCCGTGTGTGTGTGTGGGTGTGTGTGTGCGGTGTGTGTGTGTGCGTGTGTGTGCGTGTGTGTGTGCGTGTGCGTGTGTGCGTGTGTGTGTGTGTGTGCGTGTGTGTGTGCGTGTGCGTGTGTGTGTGTGGGTGTGTGTGTGTGCGTGTGTGCGTGTGTGTGTGCGTGTGTGTGTGTGCGTGTGTGTGTGCGTGTGTGTGTGTGCGTGTGTGTGTGCGTGCGTGCGTGCGTAGTGTGGGGAGCGGTGACGTGGCAGTTAGCGCGCTGAGCTACGAACCCGGCGACCTGAGTTCGATTCCCGCTCACGGACAACATCGGTGGCGATTATCTGAATCGGCCGAGGGCCTCCTCTAGGTCGACTCAGCCTCAAATGAGTACCTGGTGCAGTGTGCAGTAAACAACGGCACTGGGGAAACAAAGGCGGCCGGGCGTGGTGCTGGCCACCCACCCCCTCGTGTGCCGTGGTCGGCCTTCATAGGTGCTCGCTAACAGCACTTGCCCCTACAGACCGTTCAGGCTACATGGGGGACCTTTGTCTTTTTTTGTGTGTGGAGACGCCCCGTTCCAGACAAGAGATCCCCCCCGTTTAATTGAACACGTGGTGGACATTCGCGACCAATGCTAGTCACAACAAAGGGGTTTTTTGTTGGGGTGAGGACACGTAAATATGAATGTTGTGCCGTTAAAGCCAGAATCACCACCACCACCACCCGACACGGCCGCTGAATAAAGGTTCGTCACGTAAACAAAAAAACGTGTCAATTGGTGGCTACTGCAGCACAGCCGATGTGCTGGAGCGTGAACCCACGGCGTTGACAACTCGAGCACCACGACGATCGCGTCGGCAATCTCACCCTGGTGTACAAATACTAACCACAGATGAACCAATAATTGTTTTGTTTACCCTTCTATCTGGCAACAAAACTGACACCTTTTTTACAAGGAGTCATGTTTGCATAGACCACAATACCTGCAGTCGTAATGCAAACAAAAAACACAACTCTGATAATGTATGCACTGTCCTTGAAGTTGATTGGTCCACACCCGAGACAGCTTTCCTTAGAGCCTAGTCTCACATGGTGTTGGACCAGATGACGCCAAAAGGCGCACAACTCAAAGACAACGCACCATCAGAAATCGAGAGCTGGGGGTGAAGCATTTACACCATTGGAACCTCATTTGCCAGTAGCAAAACATGATAATTATTTCTTTACCCTTCTATCTGGCAACAAAACTGACACCTTCCAATGGAACAGTTGAACCGTTTTGAGACAAAGCTCCCCCGCGCGGCGGCGAGCCTCACCGGGGACTTGGTGAACGGGCGGGCGAGCTGGAAGAGGAGGCGGTAGGCCCAGGAGTGGCGAGCGAGGCGCGTGGACACCATGTTGCCCGGGTGCACGGCGTGTGTGGCGACGCGCAGCGGCGCGAGGCGAGCGTGCAGCGCCAGCACCAGCAGCAGTGCGCACAGCTTGGAGCGGTTGTAGGCGAGCGCCGGCCAGTGGTCGGAGCGCGACGCCGGCGACAGGCGCGACAGATCCACGCGGAAGCCGGCGCCGTCCAGCTCGGGGAACCTGCGGGAACGCACGGAGCGACGGAGGGACGGACGGACGCATGGGCAGATGGACAGACGCATGGGCAGACGGACAGACGCATGGGCAGACGGACAGACGCATGCGCAGATGGACAGACGCATGGGCAGACGCATGGGCAGATGGACAGACGCATGGGCAGATGGACAGACGCATGGGCAGATGGACAGACGCATGCACAGATGCATGGGCAGATGGACAGACGCATGGACAGACGCATGGGTAGATGGACAGACGGACGGACAGACAGATAGACAGATATAAAGATGGGCAGATGAACAGACAGATAAATGACAAGACAGATAGAGAAATGGACAGATAGACAGAGGGACAGATGCATGGACGGATGGACAGGTGGATGGACAGACAGACGGATAGAAAGATGGGCAGATAGACAGATGAACAGACAGAGAATTGGACAGACAGATAGACAGAGGGACAGACGGATGGGCGGATGGACAGAAGGATAGAAAGATGGGCAGATGGACAGATGAACAGACAGAGAAATGGAGAGACAGATAGACAGAGGGACAGACGGACGGACAGGTGGACGGACGGACGGACAGACAGACGGTGAGAAGGAATCGCAGTATCGCATCCACGCGGGAGAAATCCGATGAGCTATGAAGCTCTTCATCACCGATGTCCAACAGGGCAGGCGGCGCCTCCAATCGCGCTAACCGATACATTTCCACGGAGGGGTTAAAAGAACAAGAAAAACACCCGAAACTCCGCAAACTCGGAGGAGGGAACCGCCCGAAAACCTTCTCATCGACCGGCGGGCGCCAGCGTCACACCTGTGCGACTCGGACGAGACGAGCACGACCCGCGCCGGCGCCGAGCGCACCAGCGTCTCCTGGAGCAGGCGCAGCAGGTAGAAGTGGCCCAGGTAGTTCACCTGGAAGGTGGACTCCAGCAGGTCCTCCGTGAGGCTCCAGGGAGCGGCGAAGACGGCGGCGTTGCACACCAACACGTGCAGGGGCCTGGCACGGGGTGGGGGTCAGGGGTCAGGGGGCGGGGGTCAACGGCATCGTCACCTTGAATTTCGATGTAAAGCTTTCGTGAGTGCAGGGATTCATCTTCTTGGTTCTTTCGGTAGAGTCATGTGGAAGGGAAATCATAAAATAATAAAACATAATAAAATACAAAAATAAAACATAATAAAATACAATTCTCAAACATAATAAAATACAATTGTGAGAATTGTATTTTATTTCGATGTAAAGCTTTCGTGACTGCAGGGATTCATCTTCTTGGTTCTTTCGGTAAAGTCACGTGGCCGGGTACGGAATCAAAACCCGTTTGCGACCTCTGAGGGAGGGTGCTCGCTGAGTAAACGTGAAAACGGAGCGGCCGCTTACAGGCGCCGGGAGATGAAGCTGTCGGCGCACTCGCGTACGCTGTGCAGCGACGCCAAGTCCAGCGGCAGCACGTCCACTTGAGCCTGGGGCTGGGGAGCAGACGGAGAGAGAGAGGGGACGGGCAGAGGGACGGGCAGAGAGACAAACAGAGGCAGACAGAGAGACAGACAGAGAGACAGGCAGAGAGACAGACAGACAGAGAGACAGAGAGAGACAGACAGACAGAGAGACAGACAGAGAGACAGACAGAGACAGAGAGAGAGACAGACAGCTACAGGCTTAGTGCGGCCTGGAAGCGTATTATTAAATAAGATACATTACAATTCCTTATAAGGGAAACAACCACTAACTGATTACTAATGTAGCATAATCACAATAAAACACATTCCAAATGATTACTAATCTACAACTCGCATCGTAACAATAGCCTGATTACTAATCTAGTATATAATTACAATCACTCCCCCCCCCCTTGAATCTTTGCACCTGATGAGTTAATGAGTTAATGATGACGTCACCCTGCTGCTGCTCTATATAAGAACGGGAGACACAGCAGAGCCTTACCATTCTGGCGAATTGCCCGATGATGCTGGATGCAATTACCAGCGAAACGTCGTGCTACTCAAATGGTAAATGTTGTGGCTTCAACACACCGGTGGGCTAAAGCAGTGAACTATTTGTCTTTTGTCAACGTGACACTTTTTTACTGATTGGCCGTGTCGGGTGGTGGAGGGTTACGACACATTTATAAATAACGCGATCTAAACCCAAAAACGTTGATTATGAGGCAGAGACGGTTAAAACGTGCCGTAATTTCCACCATACGCCCAACAGGTACCCAGCATAAATCCACACACATCCACACACACACACACCCACACACACACACACCCACACACACACCCATACACACACACACCCACACACACACACCCACACCCACACACCCACACTCCCACAACCAGCACGTACCCACTCGCTGGTGATGAGCTGCGCGGCGTGCGCACCCCTGGCGTCGTCACGGCACGCCAGGAAGACGTGCGCTCCGTGCAGCGCCAGAGAGCGCGACGTCTCAAAGCCTGCCGGTGGTGGGGGGGGGGGGGGCGGCACACACGTGACCACACACAGACAAAGGTCCGCCGGTGTAGCCCGCAGCGGACGTTGGGGCAAGTGCCGTGCGCACGCTGCGTGTGGTGTGCACGGCAGAGGTCGCAACCGGGTACCCGATACCCGTACCCTACACGATACCCGTACCCTACCCGATACCCGTACCCTACACGATACCCGTACCCTACCCGATACCCGTACCCTACCCGATACCCGTACCCTACCCGATACCCGTACCCTACCTAATACCCGTACCCTACCTAATACCCGTACCCTACCCGATACCCGTACCCTACCTGATACCCGTACCCTACCCGATACCCGTACCCTACCCGATACCCGTACCCTACCTAATACCCGTACCCTACCTAATACCCGTACCCTACCCGATACCCGTACTCTACCCGATACCCGTACCCTACCTAATACCCGTACCCTACCCGATACCCGTACCCTACCCGATACCAACCCACTCACCTACTCACTTACCCACCGAACCTACTTACTCACTTACCCACTCACCCACACACCTACTCCCTCACCCGTCCACTCACCCACCAAATTCCTCACCTCCTCACTCATCCACTCACTCACTCACTCACCAATCCACTCACCCACCAACCTACTCACCTACTCACTTACCCATCCACTCACCCACCAAATTCCTCACCTACCCACTCACCCACCCACCTACTCACTTACCCACTCACCCACTCAATCACTCACCTACTCACTCACCAATACACTCACCCACCAAATTCCTCACCTCCTCACTCATCCACTCACCTACCCACCAACCTACTCACTTTCCCACTCACCCACCAACCCACCTACTCACTCACCCACCAAATTCCTCACCTACTCACTCATCCACTCACCCACTCACTCACCAATCCACTTATCCATCAACCTACTCATCTACTCACTTACCCACTCACCAACCCACCCACCTACTCACTCACTCACTTACCCACTCACCCACTCACCTACTCACTCACCCATCCACTCACCCACCAAATTCCTCACCTACTCACTCATCCACTCACCCACTGACTCACTCACCAATCCACTCACCCACCCACCTACTCACTTACCCACTCACCCACTCACCTACTCCCTCACCCGTCCACTCACCCACCAAATTCCTCACCTACTCACTCATCCACTTACCCACTCACTCACCAATCCACTGATCCATCAACCTACTCATCTACTCACTCATCCACTCACCCACTGACTCACTCACCAATCCACTCACCCACCCACCTACTCACTTACTCACTTACCCACTCACCCACTCACCTACTCCCTCACCCGTCCACTCACCCACCAAATTCTTCACCTACTCACTCATCCACTTACCCACTCACTCACCAATCCACTCATCCATCAACCTACTCATCTACTCACTTACCCACTCACCCACCCACCCACCTACTCACTCACTCACTTACCCACTCACCCACTCACCTACTCACTCACCCATCCACTCACCCACCAAATTCCTCACCTACTCACTCATCCACTCACCCACTCACTCACTCACCCACCCACCTACTCACTTACTCACTTACCCACTCACCTACTCCCTCACCCGTTCACTCACCCACCAAATTCCTCACCTACTCACTCATCCACTCACCCGCTCACCCACTCACTCACTCACTCACCTACTCACTCACCCATCCACTCACCCACCAAATTCCTCACCTACTCACTCATCACTCATCCACTCACTCACTCACCAATCCACTCACCCACCCATCCACCTACTCACTCACTTACCCACTCACCTATTCCCTCACCCGTCCACTCACACACCAAATTCCTCACCTACTCACTCATCCACTCACCCACTCACTCACTCACTTACCCACTCACTCACCCACTCACTTACCCACTCACCCACCCAATCACTCACCTACTCACTCACTCATCCAACCACTCACCAATCCACTCACCCACTAACTCACTCATTTACCCATTCACCCACTCCAATCACTCACCTACTCACTCACTCACCAATCCACTCACCCACTCGCTCACTCACTCACTCACCACTCTACTCACCCACCCCACTCACCGATCCCGCTGCTGGCGCCGGTGACCAGCGCGACGACGCCGCTGAGGTCGCGACCCTGCAGCACGTCGAGTGCCGTGCTGCTGCCGTCGAAGCGCTGGCGGAACGCGGCGGCGGAGGAGGAGGAGCGAGCCGCCCCCGTCTGCTCCACGGGGAAGGCGAGGCGCGGGTCCACAAACGTCGTGCGCCCGTTGATGTGGCTGCTCGCAGGACGCGCGGTGGCCAGAGAGAGAGAGCGAGAGAGAGAGTGAGCGAGTGGGAGAGAGAGAGAGTGAGACAGAGAGAGAGAGAAAGTGAGAGAGAGAGAGTGAGACAGAGAGAGAGAGAACGAGAGAGCGAGAGAGAGTGAGAGCAAGTGGGAGAGAGATTGCGAGACAGAGAAAGAGAGAGACAGTGAGACAAAGAGCGAGACAGAGAGAGACACAACGAGAGAGAGAGTGAGTGAGAGAGAGAGTGCGAGACAGAGCGAGAAAGCGAGTGAGCGAGACAGACAGAAAGACGTCGCGAGGACGACAACTCAGGGGCGCCGCCAGGTGGAGGAGGAGGAGGAACCCGCAGACGACCGGGGAAGCAGCAGCAGCTGCTGCAGCAACAGCAGCAGCTGCTGCAGCAACAGCAGCAGCAGCTGCAGCAACAGCAGCAGCAGCTGCAGCAACAGCAGCAGCAGCTGCAGCAACAGCAGCAGCAGCTGCAGCAACAGCAGCAGCAGCTGCAGCAACAGCAGCAGCAGCTGCAGCAGCAGCAGCAACAGCAGCAGCAGCTGCAGCAACAGCAGCAACAGCAGCAGCAGCTGCAGCAACAGCAGCAGCAGCTGCAGCAGCTGCAGCAACAGCAGCAGCAGCTGCAGCAACAGCAGCAGCAGCTGCAGCAGCAGCAGCAACAGCAGCAGCAGCTGCAGCAACAGCAGCAGCAACAGCAGCAACAGCCACGCGTAGGCACGCGCCTGTACGTTGGAAGTGCGTGTTGAACTCAACGTCGCGTGCACGTGGCGTGTGACCACACTCACTCCGTGACGACGGTGTGTGTGTGACCGCACTCACTCCGTGACGACGGTGACGATGCGTGCGTGCGCACTCACTCCGTGACGACGGTGCGTGTGTGTGTGCGTGTGTGTGTGTGCGTGTGTGTGTGTGCGTGTGTCTGTGTGTGCGTGTGTGTGCGTGTGTGCGTGTGTGCGAGTGTGCGTGTGTGTGTGCGTGTGTGCGTGTGCGTGTGTGTGCGTGCGCGTGCGTGTGTGTGTGTGCGTGTGTGCGTGTGCGCGCGTGTGTGTGTGTGTGTGCGTGTGTGTGTGCACTCACTCGGTGAAGTAGACTTGGCCCTTGGCGTCCACGAGTTGCTGCCACCCGTACGGGAGCTCTGCGGTGAAGAGAGGCCAGAGGTCGCAAACGGGTTTTGATTCCTTACCCGTACCTGTACCCGGCCGCACCAGGGTCGCAAGCGGGTACCCGTACCCGTATCTGTACCCGGCCGTACCCTACCCATACCCTACCCGTACTCGGCCGGGTACGGTGTGTAAACATCACCACGAGGGAGACAAAGGCGGGATCTTTGTGTGTGTGTCTGTGTGTGTGTCTGTGTGTGTGTCAGTGTCTGTGTGTCAGTGTCTGTGTCAGTGTGTGTGTGTCTGTGTGTGTGTGTCTGTGTGTGTGTCAGTGCCTGTGTGTGTGTCAGTGTCTGTGTCTGTGTGTGTGTGTATCTGTGTGTGTGTCAGTGTCTGTGTGTGTGTCTGTGTGTGTGTGTCTGTGTGTGTGTATCTGTGTGTGTGTGTATCTGTGTGTGTGTCAGTGTCTGTGTGTGTGTCTGTGTGTGTATGTCTGTCTGTGTGTGTTTTTACCTGTGGGGAGCGGTGGCGTAGCGATTAGCGCTAAACATGACTAAGAAGATGATCATCATGACGACGATGATGATCTTCTTGGTTCTTTCGGTAAAGTCACGATGATGATGATGAACGCTCACCTCCAGCCACCTTCTTGCGTTTGCCTGTCTTGGGGTTGTCCCACTGGGTCTTCTGCTCTGCATGACTTTGAGTGGAGGCGGGCGAGAGGGGGAAGAGGAGACAGAGTTACTGTGGAAGCGGCCGCAATCATGTCCAACCACAATCATGTCCTGATGCCTGCTGCTGTATATTTGGAGTTTGCGTGTCTCTCATCATCATCATCACGGTGGCTAGGAGATGTTAACTACCTCGCCTGGTGTACAGGAGGTCGTGGGTTCGATCCCGATCCTGGCGCCTGCTGTATATTTGGAGTCTGCGTCTCTCTCATCATCTTCATCATCACGGTGGCTAGATGTTAACTACCTCGCCTGGTGTACAGGAGGTCGTGGGTTCGATCCCGATCCTGGCGCCTGCTGCTGTATATTTGGAGTTTGCGGTGTCTCTCTCTCTCTCTTTCCCCGTGGTCGTGTGGAATTTTCTCCGAGTCCTCCGGATTCACCCTCCACATTTAGAATCAACGTCACGCGTTTAAATTTCCACGTGATGATGATTATGGCGATAAGCCATTTCGTTGAGCTATCGTTTGCGATGGGCAGGTATTCTTCGAGTCTTTCGGTAAAGTCACGCAGATAGGTTCAAAGACGACCGCTTGTGTTGCGATCGAAACGTCGCAGCTTTTTGTTATTTTCTTTGAACCTATCCACGTGACTTCGAAAGACCCAAAGAACATGAATTTCTGCAGTCACGAAAGCTTCAAGTCAAGATCTATATGGCTCAAATAAAAAACACATTCCTGCGGAGGGAGCTGGTAGGAACGTTGGGTTGCTCGGTCAATGGCCTGCAGGGTCAACGGCGGCGTGGTGTATTCCGCAAATATGCCCGACTGTGAGGGCGGGCACAAGCCGGCGTGAGTAGGTTAAACGTTGAGTTTTATAAGGGCACCACGGGGTGACCAGCCCCTCCCCACCCAGCCCCCACCCCCCACCCAGCCCCTCCCCACCCTCCCCTCTCCACCCAGCCCCTCCCCACCCAGCCCCTCCCCACCCAGCCCCACCCCTCCCACCCCCCACCCAGCCCCTCCCCACCCTCCCCACCCAGCCCCTCCCCACCCACCCCCCACCCAGCCCCACCCTCCCCACCCAGCCCCACCCTCCCCACCCAGCCCCTCCCCACCCAGCCCCACTCCCCACCCAGCCCCACCCCTCACCCAGCCCCTCCCTCCCCACCCAGCCCCTCCCTGCACGACGGACGGACACAATAATCCCCTGTGGGCTGGTGTAACCAGGAGGTTCCTACCAGTAAAAGTTAAATCGGTTGTTGTTGTTGTAACTTGCCGACCCCACTACCCCGACTGGACATCTGTGACGATAAGAGCTTTAGAGCTCTTCGGATTTCTCCTCCTGCAGCCTACACACAGATTCACATTCTGCAGGGCCTCCACTGTGTGCACTGTACCGTGGTGCACTGTACCGTGGTGCACTGTACAGTGTGCACTGTATTGTGTGCACTGTATTGTGTTGCACTGTACTTCGTGCACTGTACTGTGTTGCACTGTACTTTGTGCGCTGTGCTCATTGTACTGTGTTGCACTGTACTTTGTGCGCTGTACTTTGTGCGCTGTACTGTGTTGCACTGTACTGTGTTGCACTGTACTGTGTTGCACTGTACTGTGTTGCACTGTACTGTGTTGCACTGTACTGTGTTGCACTGTACTGTGTTGCACTGTACTGTGTTGCACTGTACTGTGTGCACTGCACTTTGTGCACTGTACTGTGTTGCACTGTACTGTGTGCACTGTACGGTGGTGCTCGCCGCTGCCCCCACGCGTGTACTGCCCCCACGCGTGTACTGCCCCCACGCGTGTACTGCCCCCACGCGTGTACTGCCCCACGCGTGTACTGCCCCCGCGTGTACTGCTACGTGTGTACTGCCCCGTGTGTACTGCTCCACGCGTGTACTGCCCCCGCGTGTACTGCTACGTGTGTACTGCCCCGTGTGTACTGCTACACGTGTGTACTGCCCCCGCGTGTACTGCTACGTGTGTACTGCCCCGTGTGTACTGCTCCACGCGTGTACTGCCCCCGCGTGTACTGCTACGTGTGTACTGCCCCGTGTGTACTGCTACACGTGTGTACTGCTTCGTTCTCTCCCGACTCCCCCCCTCTAAGAAATCAACACATTTCAAGAATCGAAACCAAATCGATTTCTCGACTCCGCTCTCGATTCGCGATTCCGAGCGCGCAGCACGGGGGGAGGGGAGCGGCCAAAGGAATCGATTCGATTCACGGCGGTCCCCGTTGCGAAATCGATTCGACGAAATCGATCCGGCGAATTTTTTATTTTTCTATTTTTTATTTCTTGTTAATGTTCAAATAGTCCACCTCACCCCGAGCACAGCACTAGAATTTTTTTTAAAAAACATCTTTCTTTGTCGCGGTCGAAATCCGTATAAACCACGAAACTCTTTCACCCCATACACACGGGATTGTTCCAGTACGTCATTAACACCCACCACCCACCCACACCACCCACCATCCCGTCCCGCTCACTTGACGTAGTAAATCCATCCGTCCGGCGTCGACCGCTCCTCCCAGGCGGGCGGGAGCTCGTCCTCGCTGTCCGTGTCGTCCAGACCCGCGTAGCGAAGCGCCGACATCGTCCGTACGCGGCCACGGCGGTGAGGGGCGGACGTCACCAACTGGAGCACCCCCACCTAAGATGGCCACCGGTTATGCAACTGTAGGGGAGTTTCACCACCCCCACCTAAGATGGCCACCGGTTATGCAACTGTAGGGGAGTTTCACCACCCCCACCTAAGATGGCCACTGGTTATGCAACTGTAGGGGAGTTTCACCACCCCCACCTAAGATGGCCACCGGTTATGCAACTGTAGGGGAGTTTCACCACCCCCACCTAAGATGGCCACCGGTTATGCAACTGTAGGGGAGTTTCACCACCCCCACCTAAGATGGCCACTGGTTATGCAACTGTAGGGGAGTTTCACCCCCCCCCCCACCTAAGATGGCCACTGGTTATGCAACTGTAGGAGTTTCCCCTCCCCACCTAAGATGGCCACCGGTTATGCAACTGTAGGGGATAATGCACATGCATATGCAGTACAAATCACATTCCTGCATTTCCCATAAATATGCTAAATTCCTTTTGATATGCAAATTCATTTGTCAATGCGCCCAGCTTATATATATGCTCCAAGCTCGTGTGCTGTTTCATTCAGACTCTGTCGCCTCGACGGACCTGGTTTTCACCTGAGGACGGCTGCTTGCGTTGTGGCCGAAACGTCGTGAGAATTGTTTTATTATGTTTTATTTTTATTATTTTATTACTTCCCTTCTACGTGACTTTACCGAAAGAACCAAGAAGATGAACTGTAGGAGAGTTTCTTCCCCACCTAAGATGGCCACCGGTTATGCAACTGTAGGGGAGTTTCACCCCCCCCCCCCACCTAAGATGGCCACCGGTTATGCAACTGTAGAGGAGTTTCACCCCCCCACCCCCCACCTAAGATGGCCACCGGTTATGCAACTGTAGGGGAGTTTCACCCCCCCCCCCCCACCTAAGATGGCCACTGGTTATGCAACTGTAGGGAAGTTTCACACCCCCCCCACCTAAGATGGCCACTGGTTATGCAACTGTAGGGGAGTTTCACACCCCCCCCCCCCACCTAAGATGGCCACTGGTTATGCAACTGTAGGGGAGTTTCACCCCCCCCCCCCCCCACCTAAGATGGCCACCGGTTATGCAACTGTAGGGGAGTTTCACACCCCCCCCCCCACCTAAGATGGCCACTGGTTATGCAACTGTAGGAGTTTCCCCTCCCCACCTAAGATGGCCACCGGTTATGCAACTGTAGGGGAGTTTCCCCCCCACCTAAGATGGCCACCGGTTATGCAACTGTAGGGGAGTTTCCCCCCCACCTAAGATGGCCACCGGTTATGCAACTGTAGGGGAGTTTCCCCCCCACCTAAGATGGCCACTGGTTATGCAACTGTAGGGGAGTTTCTTCTCCACCTAAGATGGCCACCGGTTATGCAACTGTAGGGACGTTTTCCCCCACCTAAGATGGCCACCGGTTATGCAACTTTAGGGGAGTTTCACCACCCCCACCTAAGATGGCCACCGGTTATGCAACTGTAGGGGAGTTTCACCCCCCCCCCCCCCACTTAAGATGGCCACTGGTTATGCAACTGTAGGGGAGTTTCACCCCCCCCCCCCCCACCTAAGATGGCCACTGGTTATGCAACTGTAGGGGAGTTTCCCCCCCACCTAAGATGGCCACCGGTTATGCAACTGTAGGGGAGTTTCCCCCCCACCTAAGATGGCCACCGGTTATGCAACTGTAGGGGAGTTTCACTCCCCCCCCCCCCCACCTAAGATGGCCACTGGTTATGCAACTGTAGGGGAGTTTCTTCCCCACCTAAGATGGCCACTGGTTATGCAACTGTAGGAGTTTCCCCTCCCCACCTAAGATGGCCACCGGTTTTGCAACTGTAGAGGAGTTTCACCGCCTCCACCTAAGATGGCCACCGGTTATGCAACTGTAGGGGAGTTTCTTCCCCACCTAAGATGGCCACCGGTTATGCAACTGTCGGGGAGTTTCCTCCCCACCTAAGATGGCCATCAGTTGCTCGCTCGTCTATCAGGCGGGGTACCCTCACCTAAGATGGCCATCAATTACTCATCTATCAGGCGGGAGATCCCCACTTAAGGTGGCCCACAATTTATTCACCTATCGAAGAGATTCCCCTACGTAAGATGGCTACCAGTCACTCACTGACGGGGCAGGTTCCCCTACGTAACATGGCCACCAGTCACTCACTGTCGGGCAGGTTCCCCTACGTAAGATGGCTACCAGTCACTCACTGACGGGGCAGGTTCCCCTACGTAACATGGCCACCAGTCACTCACTGTCGGGCAGGTTTCCCTACGTAAGATGGCCACCAGTCACTCACTGTCGGGCAGGTTCCCCTACGTAAGATGGCCACCAGTCACTCACTGTCGGGCAGGTTCCCCTACGTAAGATGGCCACCAGCCACTCACTGTCGGGCAGGTTCCCCTACGTAAGATGGCCACCAGTCACTCACTGACGGGCAGGGTTCCCTACCTAAGATGGCTACCAGTCACTCCGAGGTTTCCCTACCTAAGATGGCCACTGGTCATTTACTGTCGTGTAGGTTGCCCTACCTAAGATGGCCACCAGCCACTGTGTGCAGGTTCCCCCACCTAAGATGGCCACAGGTCGATCACCTGTCGGCTCGATGTTCGGATTGACAAACGTTTCCCTTTCCTATCCCAGTCGGAATGGCGGTGGCCGGCTCGGTGCTACCGTTGCGAAGGTCAAACCAATCATCAAACGTCCCACCAACGTTCACCTTCGGAATCGGAAGTATCCGCCGGGTTCGCAGCGCTAACCACTGCGCCACCGCTCCTCAATATAATACACAGCGCTGTCCAGGGTGGTCCAGATGTCTTGTGACCCCAAATTAATTAATCCCGAACACCCCAACCCTCCCTTTGCATATTCATGTTTTCAATAAATCCTTACTTTAAAAAAATCACGTTTTAGATATTTAAATGTGGGTCACAATACATCTGGACCACACGTCTGTGGGGAGCGGTGGTGCAGCGGTTAGCACGCTGCGCTACGAACCTGGCGACCCGGGTTCCATTCCCGCTCACGGCCAACACCACCAGTGACGATTATCTGAACCGACCCTGGGCTTCCCCTAGGTCGACTCAGCCTTAAATGAGTACCTGGTGCTGTGTGCAAACATCGCTACTAGGGAGACAAAGGCGGCCGGGCGTGGTGTTGACAACCCACCTCTTCGTGTGCCGTGCCAGCCTTTATTTTATAGGTGCTCGCTAACAGCACTTGCCCCTACAGTCTGTTAAGGCTACACGGGGGATCTTTATATATATACATAGCTAGACAAAGACACAAAACAGTGACACGCAACGTCTCTCGATCATAGATAGCATTTATTAAACATCTGTAAAGCACAGCTGTGGCTCATTTAGGCACGAGAAGGCACGGCGTTGTTACAACAGCCGGTCTGTAAAGGCACTTAATCGACTGGCAGCCACAATTATTGCAAAGTGCCAGTGGTTTACCACCAATTTACTAAAATAAGTGGCTATCTTATTTCCCCCCCGCCCCCTACGCAAACAATTTCCAGGTTAAAACTTGTGTGGGGCAGCCCCTGGAACACTCAGCAAGGGTTCCCTACAGGACAAAGGGCGTTAGTGTTGTGGAGTTGTCTCCCTTCATCCCGTAGGGCCTCATAGGTGCTGCCCTGAGCTTAGCAATCCCAGGATGCACCACGATTGGTGCTGCCCTTGGCTTAGTAATTCCAGGATGCATCACAATCCCAGGAGGCACCACGATTAGTGCTGCCCTTGGATTAGCATTCCCAGAATGCACCACAATTCGTACTGCCCTTGGCTGAGCAATCCCAGGAATGCACCACGATTCGTGACTGCCCTTGCTGAGTAATCCCAGAATGCACCACGATTGGTGCTGCCCTTGGCTTAGCAATCCCAGAGTGCACCACGATTTGTGCATGCCCTTTGGCTGAGCAATCCCAGGATGCACCACGATTGGTGCTGCCCTTGGCTGAGCAATCCCAGATGCACCACGATTTGTGCTGCCCTTGGCTGAGCAATCCCAGAATGCACCACGATTTGTGCTGCCCTTGGCTGAGCAATCCCAGAATGCACCACGATTTGTGCTGCCCTTGGCTGAGCAATCCCAGAATGCACCACGATTTGTGCTGCCCTTGGCTGAGCAATCCCAGAATGCACCACGATTTGTGCTGCCCTTGGCTGAGCAATCCCAGAATGCACCACGATCGGTGCTGCCCTTGGCTTAGCACTCCCAGGATGCACCACGGTTGGTGCTGCCCTTGGCTTAGCAATCCCAGAATGCACCACGATTGGTGCTGCCCTTGGCTTAGCAATCCCAGGATGCACCACGATTGGTGCTGCCCTTGGCTTAGCACTCCCAGGATGCACCACGGTTGGTGCTGCCCTTGGCTTAGCAATCCCAGAATGCACCACGATTGGTGCTGCCCTTGGCTTAGCAATCCCAGAATGCACCACGATCGGTGCCGCCCTTGGCTTAGCACTCCCAGAATGCACCACGATTGATGCCGTCCTTGGCTTAGCAATCGCATGGTGATACGCTAATTGCATTAGACTTACTATAATTAATCACAGTGTAATTATTCTACAATCCTCATTACGAGTCTATAATCACAGCGGCTCTGCAATCATCGCAATCACAACCCCGGGGTCTCTGTGCGAGTCTCTGTATCGACACGATGCAGCAGTATACGAGTCTCAATAAGTGTATGGATCACCACGGGTGACTTGGGTCCGTTTTCGTCTATGGATATGTAAGTCCACGAGTCTATGAGCTTCTATGAGAACTTTGTGCGTCTCTCTGTCAGCCAATGAACCAAGTGGTTGGTTCTCTAAGGCGAGCTTACGAGCCTCTGCTAAAAAGTGTGTGCGTCTCTGCGCGATTCCATGAGCCTCTTATAGATTTCGACTTAAAGCTTTCGTGACGGCAGGGATTCATCTTCTTGGTTCTTTCGGTAGAGTCACGTAGAATGGAAATAATAAAATAATAAAATAAAACATTATAAAATAATTCTCACGACGTTTC